ACTGGGATACTTTTTTCCAAAGTTGACAGCACAGGTAAAGTTTTGAAACTTTAGCTGTCCACATTCTTATAGAGCCACAAAACTTATATAGAGCAAACTGAAGGTACTTATCATATTTTATTAAAATTAGTGTCTTATTTCTATAGCTCCTCTTCTGAACAGGGCTCTGGTCCAGGGGACAGACAGACGCCTTCCATTGTTGGCCTTCAGAGCTTTGTAGGAAGTCTGGAGAAGCAGATGCGTCATCAATAACAACAAAGACTCCAGCACAGCTAAAGATGCCAACACTGCTAGCTTTCTGGCCTTCTTCTCTGCTCCTCTGCTTGCTCCCAGGTCACCCCCAGATAGTGTTTTTCAGTGAATTCCATATTTATATCACCCACTGGGATAGTGGGATCTGTTTTTATTAAAAATTTTCTTGACAATTTGCACATCAGTATACACACTGCTTATAACCAATATGGAATAAACACTATCCAGCCAAAATCTCACTTTGGGAAACTCACCATGAAATAGATTTTTTTTTCATTTTTTATTCATATTCAAGCTTTCATGTTTGGATGAAAAGGGGCAGAATAGCTTAGTACCTAAGAAAGGCAAAATATCACTATAATTCACAATGCCTTAATTTTCTCATCTAAACAACAGGGGTAAAATCATACCTCCTAAGAGGCTGAGTGGTGAGTTAGCATGTGTGAAATATTTGTCCATGGTTCCCTGGACCTTTAATGTTGCAGAGTGGCTTAAATGAAGTCATTGGGTGTGCTATGACAGAAACAAAGACACACAGCGTTTACTCAAAGATAAATATTGTTTCCTCCTTAAACTGTTTTTAAAATTAGGGTAATTATTGGTGGGAGTCTGCTTTTCCAGTATATGGTAATGCAGATATCCAAACACCCTGGGAAGTTTGACGATTCTACATAGCGCCTCCTCTCCCAGCCTTTACACAAATCATATGCGTGTTTCCTCTGGTCTGGCCGCTGTACTAAGTGATAAGGTGATAAAAATAAACAACACTTGTTCTTGGGGTCATGGAAGACAATTCAAACCAAGACAAGTCAAATCCCCATGTTGTTTGGGGAGCTGGTTAGACCTCAGCTTTGAGCCTAAGCTCTTTGCTTGGGTGTTACAGATCCACTATCTAATGTTACCTTTATCACAAAAATTTCATTCATTTAACAAACACAGACATCTTTCTTATGAATAGGTTCTGCAACAGATAAATCTACCAACTATCAATGGAAAATTTGGGGGGACAATGTCTGTATTGACATGTGTGGACTTTTTTCCTGTGAATAGCCCCTAAGTGATGCAGTGTAATGACTATCTTTGTAACACCTATGCCAAGAAATTGTATGTAATTTGAATCCCAAGGGGGGATGTATGTAGGATATATACAAATACCACAGCCTTTTATATAAGGCATTTGAGCATCTGAAGATTTTGGTAACTCCAAAGGATCCCAATACCAACCTCCCACAATATGATTTGGGGCAAATAATTGTCAGTAGGCTCTTGTTAGTCACAATGAGGACTTGACCTTTTATCAAGGGGCAATAGAAGTGACTTCAGTGTTTGAGCAAAGAGCTGAATTTTGTCTTACTGTGAGCAGGGAGTTTAGTTAATAGTAAGTTCACTGTGACTGCTGCATGGGGAATGGGCCACACAGCAATGGGATCTGAAAGCAGGGATGGTGGTACAGACCAACATTGATGACAGAGGCCAGCCACAGAAATCAATTGTGTTCAGAAGACGTGTTTGGTGATGAATCAAATGCAGGAGATGTCAAAAATGGAGAGGTAGCTTCAGCGGGGATTGTGTTTTAGTCAACGTGTGCGCCACTTCCCAGAGAACGAGGAGATAGAGAAGCCGTCGAGGATCAGGGGTGATGTGAAGGAGACGGAGAAGGTTAGAGGAGACAGACTCCTGGATATTGTTGGAGACGGGATTATAATGCAATGTAAGTGATGGGGAAGTTTAAATGCTAGGAATTTAGATTATATTAGAGTTGCAATTTTTTATAATAATAAGAAGATCTAAGACTTTGCATTGAAATGAGTGGCTGACATAAGCTGATGGCCAGAGTTATGGAGGAAAGCCGGGGCAGGTTAGAGGACAAGGCAGGCCATCTACACAGCTACGAAAGCACCAACAGTTAAGTTAGCAGTAGTGTTGAAATGAGTGGGTGTCAGTTGGAACTGGAATCTATAGATATTGCAACAATAAAAGGAAACGGCTTATGCTAGTCAGAAGACATCATATTTAAAGTCAGTCTCAGGAAGGAGGAGAGGAAAATAACTTTGAAGGAAGGGGACAGCCTCTCGTAGTGTGTTACAATTGCAGGTCCAGTAGTTCAGGGGACGATGAACAGCCACCACGCGGAAGGACCCCAGAGGAGACTTAGGCTTACAGTAAAGCAAGTAGGTGAGAGAGGAGCCTATGCAAATAAGACTCCATGATGCTGGACCATGAGCTCCTTCCTCACCCCTGTTTTTGGCTGAGTGGAGGCTGTCTTAGGGTTACTGTTGCTGTGATGGAACACCATAACCAAGGCAACTCGTACAAAAGACAGCATTTAATTTGGGCTGGTATTTAGTTGAGGTTTAGTCCATCATCATCACCATCATCACAGTGGGAGGGGGGTGACATGCATGCAGAGCTGGTGCTGGAGAAGTAGCTCAGAGTTCTATACTGGAGCCATAGGCAGCAGTAAGAAAGACACTGGGCCTGGGCTTTTGAAATCTCTAAGCCCACCTCCAGGGACACACTTTCTCCACCAAGGCCACGCCTCCTAGTCCTTCTCCAGGAGTTCCATGCAAACATCTGAACCATTTTCATTCAAACCACCACAGAGGCTGAGGACATGGCACAATTGTCCTAAAGCCCTTTCCGTGGGCACAGATGTTCCAAGGTTCAGCAAATCACAGATTTGAGTCAGCAGATTTCTGTAAAATGTTTTTGCATTTCAAGGCTAACATGCTTTGTCTGCTGTAAGCAGCAGCAGGAACTAATTCCCACATGTGCTACAGGTTCTCTGTAACGTGGGGTGGGGGGGACTAATCAGAAACAGAGAGGAAGAAGTCCATTCGAGGGACATCGACAGGAAAGAGTTGGGGACAGAGCCTAACTGAACCGCTTGTGAAGCCCTGGATTTGGAAAGAAATTAACACTGACTGAGATGAGTGTGTGGGTTCTTGGAACCTTTTGTGGTGCAACACTGGTGAATTACACAAGGTCAAGGTTAGGGTTTTTTTTTTTTTTTTTTTTTTTTTTTTTTTTTTTTTTTTTTTATTTCAGTTTCTGCTCTTCTCACTTCTAAGTAACTGTTTTCTGGCCAGGGTGCTAAGAAAACCATGGTTGCACAGGTCTCCAGTTGATTAATTCTGGCAGTTCTTGGCACAGAAGTACCATGCCACTCTCTTTTTTCTTAATAACTATTCTATGACATTAATTCAGAGTGGCAAATGGAGTTAGATTTTCTTCGTAATGATTTTTAAAATATTAGACTAAATCATCACCACGATTCACTTACCTTCTTCAGCTGGAACAATGTAATGGATTTTTAAAATCGTTTTCTTCCTTGATGTCATATTTTGGGGTAAAAACTGATCGTGCGTCCAAGCAATCTCAAAAGAATTTTACTGACTTGTTTCGGGAAGATTTCATTTTTATATTCTTAGAATAGAAATAAATTATATCTGACTCACTTAGGCAGTATATATTATATTTACTATATTTCATAACCATTACCAGGAAAGCAATAATGAAAATCAATTATAGGGAATGAAATGCATCTATTTTTTTCTTTTGGCATTCATAACTTCGTGTATAAACCTATGAGGCCATTACATGTTACAGAGGCACAATTCTATCTTCAAATTATAAAGTACTTTTGGTGTTTTTATTGGCTTATATCAAAAGAAAAATACTGTGACTGTTCAAGAATCAAAATTCATGTGGTCAGGGTCAGGATCAGGGCCAAGGTCAGAGGCAGGGGGAGGGGCAGGGACTCCAGCTAGGGCTTTGACTAGGGCCCTGTTTGCAGAGCGCTTGCCTAGCATGCATTAAGACCTGGGTTCCACCCCCAGAAACCCTATAATCCCAGCAAGGTGGCACAGACCTGTAATCCCAGTGTGTGGGAGGTAGACACAGGAGGATGAAAGATTCAAGGTCATCCTCAGATACATTACAAACTTGAGGCTTGCCTGGGCTGCTTGAGACCCTGCTGAAACTGCAAACAAACTTCCGCTCAACAATATCTAAAAACTCATACAAGCAAACAGGGACAATCCTGTATTTTTCCTACAACTAAACTTAGTTCCATCTATAGCTGGCCTTTGGCAGAAAGCTCTGTCTTTTGGCTTGAGGTAAAGACAGGCAAATGCGGTCACATTTCTGTCACAGAGGAGAAAGCAAGTCCAGCATGCTCTCCCCAGAATAGAATGCCACAATAGGCCAGAGGAGCCACCTATGGCATGGTGGCTCTGGACCGGCAGAGAGGTTGATGCTGTGGTTCCTGGAGACGGCTGATAGCTGCACACGCTCACACCCACCCTGTCTGCACTGGTGTCTCCAGATACCGTCTCTTTGAAGAGCCAGGAGACCTTTGGACTCAAGACGCGTCCTTTGTGTAGCTTCATCACTAATGTACGTTGTGTGTGTGTGTGGCGGGGGGGGGGTCTGGTTGGCCACTGTCCCTTACCTTCCTTGTCTTTAAGGAACTCCAGGCTCCAACCGGACTCTGTCCCCCCCCCCCCCTTTTATTTTCTTCTCAGAGAGGCTCAAGAAACTTCTGTGAGGTCACTAATAGGTTTTCTGCCTCAAACAATAAGTTTCTTTGCTGATGTGTAAGCCAAATTCAAGAGGTGCAATGACATTTCACTTGGAGTAATCTCAAAAGTTTTACCATGCTGCTGCGAGTCCTGCAACCTGACCTCTGCTTGATTCGCCAGCCTCATTTCCTGCCACAATTCTCTTCAAAATTTCTCAACTCCAGTGACTCAATTTCAAACCTCATAATGTTAGGCTTATTGGGATTCTTCTCAGGGCGGCTGAGAGATCACCCTTCACAGCCACAATTTACATAATTATGGTAACTATCTCTTGTTTATTTTCTATTGTTCTCCACATACGCTTTCTTCCTTGCTTCGTCCTGTTGAAGAAGGGCAGACTGTGCCACGTGCAATTCTGAGCCAACAGCACCTAAAGAAGTAGCCGTTGTAAGGCTCCTTTGAATGCTCCTGTCCCTTCCTGAAGACCAGAGACACCACCACTGGGATGGGATTTTCCCTGAAGGAAAGTGGTAATCTTAACTTTCTCAAATTAAACTTAACTAATTAGTTGAGTGTGTACATGTTGAGTGTGTGTGCATGGGTATGTGTTTTCTCCAGGCCATGAGTGGAGGTCAGAGAACATCTTGTAGGAGTCAGTTTTCCCTTTCCACCTCGTGGTTCCTGGATTCAAACAAAGGTGGTCAGACTTGGCAAGCTAGCTCAGACACCTGGAAAGGACAGGAAGCTTGGTAGTTAAATATTGACAGTCAGCTGATGGGGTTTGGAATCACCTAGGGCAAATCTCCTGGCATGTTTGTGAGGGTGTTTCCAGAGAGGAAACTGAGGAGGGAAGATCAACCTTGGGTGTGGGCTGGAGCCCTGGACTGAATAAAAATGGCAATTTAAGAGGAGCACCAGTCTCTCTGCTTAGTAACTGTGGGGAGTGAGGCTGTGGCTATGGTGAGCCTGGCTATTTGGTGAGAGTGAGTTGTGGCTATGGTGAGCCTGGCTGTTTGGTGAGAGTGAGTTGTGGCTATGGTGAGCCTGGCTATTTGGTGAGGAGTGAGGCTGTGGCTGTGGAGAGCCTGGCTATTTGGTGAGGAGTGAGTTGTGGCTATGGAGAGCCTGGCTATTTGGTTCTTAGATGGTAGGAGAGGCAGGTGGAAGAGTCTGAGAAAAACCCCAGAATACTGTAAGGTAGAATGGTGGAATGTTCCAGTGGGAGTGCAGAAGGCTGAATGCCGTGAGAAATAAAGAGTGCACAAGCTTATCCCATGACATTTCGAGGGGAACAGGACTCACTGGGAATTGTGGCTGAAGCCATCCATGCCGCACTCTGGTAAAGAACGTGTCCCGAGTAATTGAGGCTGAATTCAAAAGCACTGGACTAACCCACATAGTGTAGGAGACTGCAGCACAGGCCAGTATTCAGAGTGTGGCATGGTTGTTGCTCACTATGTTTACACACGTGAGAGAGACAGACAGGGACACACAGACAGAGACAGAGAGAAGGAGACAAGAAAGAAAACTGAAGGTTGGTGAGGAGAGGAGTGTGTGAGTTTAAACATGCTGAGAAGCTGGGCAAGGAACAAGCAGCCAGCATTGATAAGCAGATCAGTTTCTTTAAGGCGAAAACTCACACTTAACAATGGGCCACTAGGAAAGTTGACTTTGGGGCAAGACCCCACCCATCAAAGGTTGTGTGAAGCTGTAGAGGTACAACACAAGTACAACAGAGACCCTGGGCACAGTCAAGGCAGGCTGCAGGAGTACAATGGAACAATAGGCCTCTAGTGGCAGACCTGGAAGGCTTTCCAAGCGTGTGGAGCTCTGATGAAGCCAACTAGAGAACTAGGTGCAGGACGTGGAGTTGCAGGTTTGGTGGGGTGTTTGTTTGTTTGCTTGTCCTGATGAGCTTGGTCTTACTTTGTACTAGCCCAAAGGGTGAGCTCTAGGTTCAGCGAGAGACACTAACTCAAAAATAAGGTGGAGAAGGAATGAAGGAAACACCCAATGTTGCCCCTGGCCTGTGTACATGTGTGTACAAGGACAAGGACCCCCATCCCTTTATTTTTCCTGAGGCTACCTTTGCCTGGAATGCTGCTTCCCCTTCCAAACTGAAAAATTCCTAATCCTTTTCTCCACTCCAGGAGATGCAGCTCTAATCCACCATCTCAGAGAAGTCTCCCTCTAATGATAATTATAGAAGTCCTAAAAGAATATTCATGTTATATTTATGGAGCCCTTGCTGTATGGCAGGCAGACACTCTCCTGAACACTTTCTTACACAACGTAACCTCTTCATCAGGCCCACAGGGAGTCGAGATTCGTCTCCATATACAAGCGGAGAAAAATGGTTAGAAACATTCGTTAGTAGGATGGACAATCTTTGGACTCCAGCAGGACTCAGACACACCTCCAGTGTGGCTCTAGAACTCTGTTAGGAAGTTACTTATTCAAGTGGTGGCTGTGTGTCTTCCTCCCTGCAGAATGCAGCCGAGACCAGCAGACTTAGGCTTGCAGCCACCCTGGATCCTGGTGAAGAACTCTTAGCTGGAAACTGCTTTTCCTTTCCAGATGTGGGTCTTCAGTCAAGTGTCCCGAACCAATTTTAGACAACTTTTCTAACATTCATCTTGGATCCTTGAATCTGTTTGAAAGTTGTTATGTCTGTTTTTTTGGGGTAAATGAATGGTTTTAAGTTCCTTTTAAAGAAACAGTAGAGAAAATAAAGGTGCACGGGAATGTTAAGACTTCCTTCTTTACCTATTTGAAAAACCAGCTTTGATATGAATTGTCCAAAAGCCCCTACTATAAAGAGAAACAAAGTGTAAGCAAATCTATATTCACTTTCTAGCAATGATACCAAACAGAGGGAGTTAAAATGCGTTTTATTTTTAATGTATTCTGAGATTTCTATGCTTAATGGTGCCCCTAAGAAGTAAAGCACTTCATATTTTTTATTATTTGAAACAATGAGGCTGCAACTTTGGGCGTTTGCTAACATAATGAATCTACATATCTTCCACTGATGGGTCCTTCTCTGTTTAAGACAGTCTGCTTTTGCCTTTCTTATTGGCATAAAGCATTAAAAACAACACATAAAAAATAGGCTTTTTTATCATCAATGCTGATGGATAAAATTGGAAATTCTATTTAAAATGTAGCTTTGTGAGAAATTTTAGTTTGTTTTCTTGTGAAAATGAGGATATGCCTCTAAAGAGAAGGACATAGGGCCGTGGAAATCATAGCTTAACTATTTGACTATTTCTATGGATTGAAATACTGCAACATAAATTTGAATTTTAGATTATCTTGAAGTTATTGGGAAAATAAGAACAATGAAAATAGATGCTTTGTGAGTTAAATGAAACTCAGAAGGGCCGTGAAGTGAAATTTTGTAGTACAGTTATTTGCTGGATGACTATGGTGATTTTTTTGTGGCCATAGCCCCAATACAGTATTCTGTGTGACCGTGGATCAGGTTAGCCACTTGCTAAGGATGGGGACAATACTCACAATTAACATGAACTGGGCATCCGTGCATCAGATCTGGGCTTTGTTGTGCATTTAACAGGTTTCCTTTAAACCCACAATTCCACGGGGCTAGCATTCCCGCCACCTCCATTTCCTATTCAGGAGACCAGAGCACAGCTGCCCATGTGACCTGCCCATGGCTCTCAGGTACTAGTGCCCGCGCTGAGTACAAACCCATGCTGTCATGACCACAGGGGTTGCAGACCATCCCATGAATGGCTGGAGACAACTATAAGTCTTTGGTGGAATTATACATAACATCAACTACTAATAATTAGAAATTTATGGTGATCCACAGAAAGTACAGTTCTTGGGTTCCACTTAATACACTTAACACACTGGAAATCAAGGAAAACATTCTGTTCACCGTTGATCGCCATTGAACTTAGAAGGGGTGCACACCTTCAGTATGCCATTTAGACAATAAAAAGTAACACTCAAGCAGCAAGGTCAAGACCTGAATGAAAAGCAATGAGGTCTTTGGCACAATGGAGGAAGCTGTACCTCTAAGACGGTAAAGAAGATGAAATCTTTGCAATACCGTCAAAGTCTTCAGAAAGGGTAGTTTACAGATTCCATAAGAACTTTATGGCCATTAAAGTTTCAATGTTTAACCTAAGTCTCTCCAATTTCCCTAATCATAAATGATTTATACGTGTTCAAGAAAACACACAGTGTAACTCTGCAGGGAAAAGGTGACATTTGGGTAATTAATTACTTAGAGTAATTCATGGCAGATTCTTTAGGCTAGAGCAGTAGATTAATCTTCTAAGTGTCAAGGAAAAGCCAATCCTAAAGGTCTAGGTCCCGATTACACACTTGGGATTCTTCATGCCCGTTAACTCTCTCCTCTATCTAACCATTTGATTCTTCATAACTATTCGTTGGTAAACGTGATCACAAATATTAGGCATTGAAGCAGAATTTCTTGTTCCATCATCAGCATAGTGTTATATTTGTTCTAACTAACTCACAAACATTCCAAAACAAATCATGGTCTCATACTTCATGTTAGAGTTCTATATTCATTACTTTCTTTTTCTGTGATTAAAAGAAATTACCATGGCCAAAAGCTACATAAGGGAAAAAGAATTTGTTTTGCCTGGTAGTTCCAGAAAGCTGGAGGCTATAATGGCAAGGAGGGCGTGGCATGCGGGTAGGAGCAGGAGGCTGGCTGGTTCTATTTTTCATCCATACACAGGAAATAGAAAAAGAAGTGGAAGAAGGGTGAGGTTACAAACCCTCCAAGCCTTACTCTAACGACGGCCTTTACCTCCTGGGGCTCCACAGCCTCTACAGACAGTGCCTCCAACAGGAGACTGGGTGCAAAAATGCATCCGTCTGTGGGAGGCGTTTCTCATCGTCCACCAAGGTCTTCTCTTTGATCTCAATAGCCTCTTGGCCATATCCTGATGAAAATGAATTTAGTTCTTTCTACTCCCCAACTCTGTCTCTGTCTCTCTGTCCCTTTCTCCTCTCTCTCTCTCTCTCTCTCTCTCTCTCTCTCTCTCTCTCTCCGTGTCTCCGTTTCCGTCTTTCTTTCTGTCTCTGTCTGTCTGTCTCTCCTCTCTCTCTGTCTCTCTCTCTGTCTCCGTGTCTCCGTTTCTGTCTTTCTGTCTCTGTCTGTCTCTCCTCTCTCTCTCTATCTCTGTGTCTCAGTTTCTGTCTCTGTCTGTCTGTCTGTCTGACTCTCCTCTCTGTCTGTCTCTCTCTGTTTCTGTCTCTCTGTCTGTCTGTCTCTCTTCTCTGTCTCTCTGTCACTGTGTCTCTGTTTCTGTCTCTGTCTGTCTGCCTGTCTGTCTCTCCTCTCTGTCTCTGTCTGTTTCTGTCTCTCTGTCTCTGTCTGTCTGTCTGTCTGTCTGTCTGTCTCTCTTCTCTGTCTGTCTCTCCTCTCTGTCTGTCTCTCTCTGTTTCTGTGTCTGTCTGTGTGTCTGTCTGGTCTGTCTCTCCTTTCTGTCTCTGTCTGTCTGTCTGTCTCTCTTCTCTGTCTGTCTCTCCTCTCTGTCTGTCTCTCCTCTCTGTCTGTCTCTCTCTGTCTGTTTCTGTGTCTGTCTGTCTGTCTGTCTGTCTGTCTGTCTGTCTGTCTCTCCTCTCTGTCTCTCTCTCTCTGTCTGTCTGTCTGTCTGTCTGTCTGTCTTCTCTGTTTCTCTCCTCTCTCCCTCCTGCAGACCAGGATGTAACTCTTGGCTACTGATCCAGCACCATGTGCCATTGTGGCCTCTGCTATGATGATAATGGACTAAAATGAACTAAGCCTCTGAAAGTGTAAGCAAACCCTGAATTAAAGGGTTTCTTCCCTAAGAGCTGCTTTGGTCCTGCTGTCTCTTCACAGCAGTGGGAGAGTGCCTAAGTTAACCAGTGAGCTTCTTAACTAAAATGAAGTGGCGGTGCAATGGCTCAGTGGTTAAAGGCACCACCACACCTGGCAACATGTGTTCAATCCCAAGAACCCACACAGTGGAAAGAGAAAAGCAACCGCTCTAAGTTATCCTCTGACCACCACATGTAGGCCATGGCACCCATCCACATAATAAATAAATAAATAAATAAATAAATAAATAAATAAATAAAAGAGTAATTGAAATAATCCAAACATTATTAACTGAGAAAACTACAAGATTGTGCATATAATAATGTCTTAAAAATAAGAAATCAGCTCTGAAAATGTGTTGTTTTCTATTTGCACACAAAAAGTGTAGGCATTCTATTCTCATTCACCCATTTTATTCGTTAATCATCTACTCTGGGGAAAGAATGTTTTAGGAACCAAGAACATAGGAAGAAATAGATAAACTCTCTGCCCTCACAGAACTTGTAGGTATTGTGGAGAAAGCAGCTATGTTTAGAGTTGCATGAATTCTTAATTAATTATGTAATGATCTATTGAATAAAGGCTGGTGCAGGGTGGTGCCACCATGTACCAGGGCAGCCTCACCTAGGTCAATGCTTCCTTATGAACCTCAGCACAGAGCTCGAGGTCAACAGAATCTGCAGGGCAAAGACAGGAAATACAATTTCTATGAAAAGCATATTTCATTTTCCCGAGAAAATGGCATTTTGAACTTCTGAAAGAGAAATAGCTTACATGTCTCTCCCGCTTTGTACCTGGAACCCACAGCTGCACATCACCGCCATTTCTACTCTCTGCCTCATTTGTGCAGATCTGGTTCAGTGGTCAGACATCTCCCCCTCCCATTCTAATACGTCAGCTGAGTGAAATAGTCAAGAGAATCAATTTAGACTGCAGAACAATACCCGAAAAGCAACATAATGATAGAGTCTCCTTGCCAGGGCTTACATTAGGGAACGGATTCGTGACTTTTGATAGTCAATTTACCAAAACCTTGTGAAATACTCTTGCTGTTGACCTTGAGGAGAATAAGAACCATTTTCTATGCTGGTTGAAGTTCTGTTTTTATAGGTTCAAAATTAAGAACTGCAGCAAATGAACAAAGGAAAAAAGACAAGAATTCTTTTGAAAGCCATATAACATCTATCAGTAATGTTTGCATTCAGAATTTTCCTGGGCGCTGGGGATATAAGGTGAAAAGCTGTTTGATGCTCTTGGCTCCAGGGCCTTCTGTCTTAGGACCATCGGCGCCACCGTAGAAATAGGCGTAGGATGTGATGGGTGGAAAGTGTACTGATGGGGACAATAGAAGAGGGAGACACCGTAACCACGCCTCCTAAGGAGTGGCTACAGGTGTGCCCGACCATGCCTGCCAGGGCATGGTCAAGGTGAGGTCAGGGTGACCTGGGAGAGATTTAAAGGGACAGACAAGGCTATGGGAGCTCTCTCACCTTGCTGCTTTGGCACGCTCTGGCTTGCTGTTGGCTGGCGTTTATCTATTAAAAGTTATCCTAACCTTACGGATTTCGTATCAGTTATTTACTGCTTTACTGCCTCATTAAACAACATGCAACAATGGTTAATTTCTAAAATTTCGTTTCTTAATATTATTTGTTGTAATCAGAGGTTTCTCTGTCCTGCCTCATCTCGCAGTTGCTTCCCAAATTACCACACAGATGCTTGTGTTAGTTATAAGTGTTTGGCTGATAGCTCAGGCTTATTACTAACCAGCTCTTACATTTGTATTAACCCATTTCTGCTAATCTATGCATTGCCATGTGGCCGTGGCTTTACCGGTTCACTTGCATCCTGCTTCTTGGGTGTCTGGCTCCCATCTCCTCAACTCCACCCTTCTTCATCTGAGTCCTGAGTTTGACTGTCCCACCTAACATTATCCTGCCTTGCCATGGGCCAAACAGCTTACATTGTTAACTAAGGGGATTGCCATATTCACAGTGTACAGAAGGATCATCCCACAGCAATTTGTTATTGTTGTTGTTTGTTGATGGTGGTGGTGGTGGTGGTGGTGGTGGTGGTGGTGGTGTGTATGTGTGTGTGTATGTGTGTGTGTGTGTGTTCTGGTGCATGCCTGCCATGATGTAGAAGTTAGATGACAGTTTTTGGAGACAGTTATTTCCTTTCACTGTGGGTCAGGTCATCAGGTTTTCTTGACAAGCACTTTTACCCACAAAGTCATCTCATTAGCCACATTCATGATTTTTATAGTTACCATCATCTCTAGGAAAACCACGAAGAAAAAACTAGCTAAGCATATTAACACTTACCATGCCATGAAAAAAAAATCAAGTATTCAAGGTGTAAGTACTAGATACGTTTCATGTGCTGCTTAAACAGAGAACCACAACCAGGAGGCCAAAAACAAATGTGCAGGTTAAAAAGTCCCGATTAGGTTGGCAGAATGGCGTTACTTTTGGAGGCTTTGGGAGACTCCACTTCCTTTTTCCAGAGTCTTCTCTCAATCCTTGGCTCCCACAGCCTGTCTCTCTGACCACTTCTTCAGTCTTTGCCTGTCTTTTTTTAGCCCCCAACTGCTTCATCTTTAAAGACCACTATGATCTGAGTCTCTCAATGATTCAATAGTATCTCCTCTTCTCAATATGCTAAATTCAATCACATCTTAAAGTCTCTTTTCTCACGTAAAGTAATGTTCTCAGGTTACAGGATCAGTACATACTATCTTCAGGGAGCCATTGTCCTGCTTGCTCTGACATTTTTACAGCAATTTTTTTCAAAGAATGCTCATCCCTTTGTCTCCCCCCCCATCTCCTCCTTCCAGGGAGGGGGCTTTGCTACTCTTCACTGCTGTGTTCTAAGCACCATGACCATGGCGAATTACAAAAGAAGGTGGTTTATGTTCCAGAGGAAGAGTCTGCAACATCGGGTGAGGCCTGGCAGCAGACAGCTAGAACCATAAACAAAAGCAGAGAAAGCAAACTCTCAGAGCCTCCCTTCCCCACCAAGGGACTTGCTTCCTCCTGCAGGGCTGCACCTCTTGAAAGTGACATATTGTCTGCAAACAGCACAGCAATTGCAGAGCAAGTGTTGGGACACCTGAGCCTATGGGAGGCGTTTCTCGTTTAAGCCACCACAGAAGAGTGTCTTCAGGGTGTCTTGTAGTTCACAGGACATGGCATAATTATAAGAACTATTAAATGTTCCAAAGATTTCTGAGACTTTCGAATGACATTTCATAAATGAAATGTGTACAACAGAATAAAGACCAATAAAGAAAAATAAATTGCACTTGTAGGGAATTGTCAACTCATGGAGAAGTGAATTTTCCATCAGCTGGTCACCTTTGTGTGGAGAGAAGCAGTGACTTCCTGATTGACATGGGAAGACTTCAGCAATTTTCCAATTGCTAAAGAGTTTGCTCTGACTCTATCTCAGGGTCATCATGGTATTTTAGTAGCAACACAAGGCTTCAAACAGGAGATGTTGAAGGACAGTTGCTCTCCTTTTGTATTGCGGCTTGGTCTGCAGCTAATTAGAAGGTCACAGACAGAAGTGAACTACAGCGGAACCACAGACCACTGTTCAGTCGTCCATTGAAAGATGGAAGAAAAGCATTTCAGGCCAGGCAAAAATGGAAGCAAAGGTGATTCAGTATCAAAATCAGACTGAGAAATGATGCCAATATACTGGAACCCAAGCCTGCTTTAATTATTTCTTTCTATTCTCATTTTATTATATACATACAATTTCCTTTTATTAAATTTAATCCTGCTCAAAGAAATATTTCAGCTGTTGGAGATGACAACTTTTAGTTAAATACTTTGGATTCTGATTGGTATAGCAAATAGATTTGCCAGAGGCAGTTAAACAACAAGATAAAAAGCTCATTGGAAAATCTCAGAGACTGTGATTGGTCCTGATTAAACTCAACCCTTCCACACGTTGCTTTGGAATGTTTATCTAGTAAATCACAAACATATCTTTAATAGATGTATGTGCATTTGTCTTCCATTTGCTTTGGGTGATAGTTAACCCAGACTTTACTGACTCCACTTCCTGTGACCTCAGTGTTTGAATGAAGGACAGTATGTGGTATCCATTTGGACAGGGCAGATATCCAAAAGATATCTTCTCTTGACCTGAGTGAGTGTAGCCCTCAGAACCCACACAAAAAGCTGGCTGTGTTGGTATGCTTGTACTCCCAGGTGCTGGGGAGGCAGAGCAGACAGGTCTCTGGGCTCACTGGCCGAGTAATTTAGCCTTGCTAAATTGTTGAGCTCCAAGCCAATGAGAAAACCTGTCTCACAAAAACAAGTTGTTGTGTGATATTTTGATCGTATTCTGACAATAAAGTTTGCTTTGGATCAGGAGACAGAGTTAACCACTAGCTGAGCAAAGTTAACCATAGAAGTTTTGGAGAACTGAGGACAGAAAGAGAGTCAGGAAGTAGTAGGGTGGGGCTTAGAGAGGTTTTCAGCCCCTTTGGGTAGAGAATAGAGATCGGGGGTCACTGGATTTCTCTGCTACTTTTATGATCATTCAGGTTCTTACCCTGATAGCTGACTACCAAGATTTTATTGATAAAGGATAATTAGATAAATGAATCCCCAGGAGGCTCCCGAGGTTTTTGTCTGGTCTCTATATACATGTACATACATGTGGACATGTACCTCTTACCAGGCACCCCACACATACACAATTACACATGGATGTATGAATGTGTACTCTCCTGGAATTGGCCTCTCTCTTATTCCAAAATACAACCCATCACTGTGTTCTTCTGGTTGCAACTTACTTCAGAGCCCTTCTTGATTCTCTCCTCTTTCCATCACCTCTACGCTTATCGCTCTGGTTTAAGCTACAATTGTGTGGACAGTTGTGGGAACAGTATGCCATATGCTCTATTCACACCCATTCTCCTTATTGGAACTGGTGTGATCCACTCCAAATCTGAAGCTTTCCAGACTTGTAGGATACACATCAAAACTCACCCCGGACCCTCAAAGCCCTGAGGACAGGTGACACCTACTGAGCCACACAGCCTCCTTAGCAACAGCCTGTGTTTTGTTCTCTGAACTTGAAGACCGATGCCACTCCAGTAGTTCCTCTGTTGCTAAGTTAGACTCCTTTCTACAGAGGAGTGTGCACGCTGGTTGTTGTATTCATTCTGACACTTTCCATGTGCATATTTGCGTCACTAACACATTAATCTCAGCTTAATATTTTTCCTCTGCAGACCAAAATCTGGCTTTTCTTAAGTGGTTAGATCTTCCTTTAGAAATGTCTCCCTTAGTCTTTCAGACCTAGTTAAATGCCTGTCTTATCAGTGTCTAGCTCCTCTAGGTTGTGAGGTCAGGAACTTGCTCTGTTTATATTCTTTCTTGTGTTGTCATACCTACTGAAAGTATAAAAACACAGCGAAAGGAGGCTACCTTCAGTGGGTCCGCCAAGGTATGCCCCTAAGAGAACATGCTGTGTGCAACAGAGTTAGTACTGGGGGAGCAGGGTGTGAAAGGATGAAAAGGCCATCTAGGAGTGGGGACATGAGAGAGGCAGACAGAGACAGATGGATAGATAGAACAGGCAAAGGAGAAACAAAAGCAAGAGAAGCAAGAGACAGGACTGTTTCAGACAGTCACTTTAAGGGGTGTGCATGTCACATAGCTGAAGGTGGAAAGGAACCTGGGAAAGGGTATGATGTAACCAATTCAGGGGTGGAGGCAGACTGCTCACTGCAGTGGGAACTAAAACCTACACCTTCCAACAGTGCAGCTGCCTATGAGCTTATGGGGGTGGAGTTATTTTCAAAGTACCAGTCTGATGCCTAAAGAGAGAACTAGAGATGGACACAGAGGGTATGGAATGAGGGTGGGTAAGAAAGGAGAGGGAATAAAGTGATCTAGACAATAGTCACTTGGGAATTTGTGAGGATCGTCTTTGCTGTCATTGTATCGATGGCAAGCAAAACAGCAAAGACTGTGGTGTGTGTTTGTGTGTGTGTGTGTGTGTGTGCGTGCAAGTCTCATCAGTCAAATGCTTGTTTCTCTTTTCACTGTCAATTTAAGCCTTAATGAATTGATTTGCTGAATAACTAAGCAAGTTAATGAGATGCATGATAAATGACAAACAATACTTTCTCACATGTTACAGATAAGATGGAATTATTCCCAATACTGCAGGATATTTAAAAACTGCAGCTCCATCCTTCTTTTGGCTGTGAAGTTGGCTATAGCCTGTACTTGGCAGAGGTCTGATGAAAAAAACAAAGAAAAATGGAGACTTACTTCTCTAACATGGCAATGGATATTCTAATCCAAGAACTACTGGTAGATTTAATGGAGAGCGGCAAAACGGCTAATTTTCAAACGAAAACAAAAAGAGAAGCTCTGCTTCCTACTAACATTACCCATTAACATCAAGCCACAACATAACCATGAAAGAGAAATGGGAGAAAACAGTGTAGAGTCAGAAGGCAATTCATGGGTTTTTATCAAGACTAGAAACGTAAAAACAAGGGGAAGTTTCAATACCTTTTATTGTCAAGATAATGAGGCAATCTTTATTATTAAAATAATGGAAGAGTTGTTGGACACAAAAGAGACCCTGTACATCTGAATGCACAATGAATATTATAGATGATGCGCCTATCCTTACACAATGAAAACAGATCTAATAAAGATATTAACCAATGTTGAAAATACCTAGCTACAGCTTAAAATTTTCTGATAGTTTCGTGACTTAAATTTTTAACCACTGGTTAGAACACACAAATAAGACACAGTTTCACATGGAAAGAATATATTTTAAAAGATGTCATTTTTTTCTCAACTTAATAGAGTTTTAATAACAACAGTAAAACTCCAGTTAGCACTTCTTTTCTGATAGCTTGCAAAAAGTTAAAAAAAAATCGACGGGAAAAGCATTGATCGCAAAGGATTTTGTGGGGAGCGAAGAGATGGCTCAGGGGTTAAGAACCCCGGCTGCTCTTGAAAAGGCCTGGGATTTAGTTTCCGGCACCCACAAGGTGGCTCACAACCATCTGTAACTCCAGCTCCCGAGGATCCGATGTCCACTTCTGACCTCTGCAGGCACAGCACACACATCGTGCATATGCACACATGCGTGCAGGCAAAACATACACATAAAATAAATAAATCTAAAACAAAAGCCTTGTGTGTGTGTGAAACAAAGAGTATACTGAAATACTTAGCTCTGTGAGTTCAAAGCTAGTCTGGGTCTTTACAGCTAGTTTTAGGTCAGGCGGGGCTACATAGTGAGAGCCTGTCTCAAAAGTCCAGAGCAACATTCAAAGCAAGAATAAATAAAGTAGCACAGTGCTAACCTTAAGACCTGTATTTTTACAGAGGAAGGATGACCAGAAACACTGTCCTTTCTGTCTGTCTGTCTGTCTGTCTCTATCCTTCTGTCCTCCCACCCCACACCGAACTCACAGGTTTTGTTTTTGTCTGTTTAATTTGGCAGTGAACAAACCCCAGTGGTCACGTTTCACCCTTGGATTCAAAGGCTCTTCTCCTATATTCCAAGAAGCGACAGCACCGTACAGAAGGGAAACAGCACACTTTGTGGACCTCCAGTTTCTTCCCCACCCCATTCTTAACTTTTAGATCTTTCTCCTCGAATAGTGCGTCCTGCTTTACAAGTCAAACCCAGGGACACAGCCGAGCAAGCGCTCTCCCGTGAGGCGGCCCGGGCCGTGCTGGCCGGTGCAGCGGGGAGGAGGAAGGGCGCGCTTCCGGGCGCAGAAAAGCAAACACAAAACAACAACAACAGCAGAACCCAAACAAAACAAAAACCCACGCTCGCACACACGCACGGCACGCACGCACGCACGCACGGCACGCACGGCACTGCTTTCCGGCACGCGCCCCGCCCTCCGCACGTACCGTACGGCGTGGGAAGCGGGCGAGCATGGCTGCGCCCTGCTGGCTGGCCCCGCC